CAGTACAGTACAACAGTACAAGTACAGTACAACAGTAATAATATGGTGAAATATTATTACAATTTAAAATAACTGTTTTCTAATTGAATGCACTTTTAATGTAATTTATTCCTGTGATGCAAAGCTGAATTTTCAGCATCATTACTCCAGTTTTCAGTGTCACATGATCCTTCAGAAATCATTCTAATATACTGATTTGCCACTCAAGAAACATGTCTTATTTGAAATATAATTATTTTGTAATATTATAAATGATTTACTGTCACTTTTGATCAATTTAATGCATCCTTGCTAAATAAAAGTATTAATTTCCTTAAAAAAAAAAAAATCTTACCGACCAAAAACTTTTGAATGGTAGTCTACATAGAGTGTGTACAAAATGTGTTGACTAGACATTAAATTAATTTACTCCGATAGGATTTTTCTCTAAATCCTACTCGTGGATTCTCACACAGCGTGGAGTAAAAACACATCTTGCACTAGTGATTTGCTCTGGTTTTAGATTAGATTTAGCACTTTGCCTGCTGGAGCAACAAGTGGCAAATGGCCCGACCACCCACTCATAACAACACGTCTATTTAAAAGAAGCATTTGGCTGCATGAGATCTTATCTAATGACATAACAGCAAGATGTCGGAAATGACTCCCTTTTGTCCTACTTGTCAAGAGCTGCGGCAACGACATGCACATCTGACCTATATCAAGACACCAAAAGGGTTAAACCGGACAAATCTGCACTGTGCAGACTCTGCACAGCTTCCAACAAAGAGGAAATGAAGTCTAAATGTCAGGAAGTGGGTATAACAATAGTGATTCCACAGACAGGAAGTCTGCCCCGAGAAATGCGTCAGGGGAGAGAGAGAAAAGGATACCGAAAGAGATAAAACAAAAACTCCATTGTAAATTGAAACTTTAAAACTTCTGCACAATCGCTTTCACTTAACGCTTGGATTGCCACTGATAGTACGCTGGGAAAAAAGCACCAAATCTCTTAATCAGCTCATGCATAGTGAAACGTGCTGACCTGGTGCAAATATTCTCAGGAAAACATCATGCCAGACAGAGAGCGGGAGAAAGCAAATGGGAGAGAGAGACAGGAATGACAGGAATGAGAGAACACGCCTCCTCTGGTTGCAACGAAAATATTGATCAGGGGTTTTCAAACTGGCAAACAGGGAACCCCCAGGGGCCAATAAGGGAGTCCATGGAAAAGCTTAGAGAAAAATTGTGTAAAAAAACTCAAAATTGAATAAATAATAAAACATAAGACCTAACTAACTCAATAAATTAATTGATTAAAATAAAAATACAAAATATTATTACAATAAAGAAAGAAAGAAAAATTTAAATAAAAAAACTCCAAGAACTTACAAGGGAGTGAGTGGTGGGGTATCCGTGGAAAAATTTAGAGAAAAACATATTATATATTAAAATAAATAAACAATAAAACATAAGACCTAAGTAAATAAATCAATAAATGATTCAAATAATTAAATAATGATTCAAATAAATAAAATAATTTAAGAAAAATAATAAAAGAACCCCCAGAGGCCCGGAAGAGAGTGTTAGAGGGTCTGTTGAAAAGATTAGAAAAAAAAGTGTTTAAAAAAAAAAAAAGGGAAAAATGTGACCCTGGAGCACAAAACCAGTCTTAAGTCGCTGGGTTATATCACAAATAATAAATAAGTAATAAAAAATATCTAACTAAATACATCAAATATTTTTTAAATAATTAAAATAAAAATGGTTAAAATAACAATATATTAATATATAATAATACCAATATAATAATATAATAATAATAATAATAATAATAATAATACATAATAGTATTTTAATAAATAATACATAACAGTACAGTAGTGAATAGAATTTCTCTCCAAATATTATTTTATACACATTTATAATGTAATTTTTTCTCAATCTAAATTTCGTCTTTATATATTAAAGGGGTCATAGGATTCCCATTTTCCACAAGTTGATATGATTCTTTAGGGTGTTAATGGAAAGTCTGTAACATAGTTTGGTTAAAATTTCTCAATGGTAGTGTAAAAAAACACATTTTTTACCTTGCCAAAAACAGCTCGGCATCCGAGATCGGCTCGATTTGATAAAGGGGCAAAAGTTTTAGTAGATTAACAAAAAACCACTGGGTGGATTTTTATCATTATAGGGTGGTTGTGTACACACACTGCCAACACACATTTCAGTTCAAACAACTTGTAAAAGTGCATGTAGCATCATATGACCCCTTTAAAGCACATAGCTGTCTTTTAAATTATAGAATGAGGGTCCCTTACTCGAGGATGATCATATATGTGGGTCCGTGGCACCGGAGCGATTGAAAACCCCTGACCTACATGATATGAACATAACAAACCTGGCTGAGAGCAGTCGCAGGCCCAGATCCAGACTCTCTCCCTTCACCTCCTGCATAGTGACTTTGCGGCTAAGTGGAGTGACGGGAAGCGGATCCTCTGTGCCAAGAGGGTTTAGAAACTCCTCCAGAAACCTCTCCAGAAACTTCCCAGCGTCGCCTTGCTCCGTGCAACTCATTCTGAGTGTGGATTTGCAACCTTTTGTCCAAAGCAAGCTTTGATGCAAACTTCAGGTATGAATCTACACAAAAAAATAAATTAATAAATAAATAAAATAATAAACACAACCATCTTCACCAGAACCGGTCAGCACTGTAAACGTAATTTTCCTCATCATTTTAAAGCAAATATGTTGCTAAGGTAACAGTACAGAACAGAGTATAATATATAATATTTAGACATAATAAATTATTAATATAGAAACTTTTCTAGGCTTTGTGTTTAGGTTGATAAAATAATCCATGCAAAATAGAATGTTAAAGTGTTGGCCAATCAGAACACTCGGAGGCGGCCCGCTGTCAACATCAACCAATGACCTGCACTTGGGGCGGGGCTACCTGTTTGTCCGAACTATAACCGACAAGGAGAGGTTTTTTTTTAAGTTTACGCTTTATGGTTATTTAAATGTAACGAAAGTAAGCGTATGTGTTGTGATACCACATTTTATCTGTAAAAATGTGACAAGTCATATACTCTTCCGATTTTCAGATGGCAAACTACAAATACAGAATGTATCTATAGTACACTAAACCTACAGACGTCTTCGCAAATTTCGCAAAACTGAACTTCTGTCTAACCGCAGTGTATTGCATAAAAGAAACTTTGGTTTGATGCATGACTACAAGGATTCATGGTGTAACTTCTGCGTGACACCTTACGAGAAATTGCACTGTCGCCATTTGAAAGCAGCACAGCCGGGCCTTGAACTACAAGCAACTGATTAGTTTAATTAACAGAGAACATAGTCGTGCGTAAACGTGCAGTATATACCTTTGGTGGATGGTTGGCGTTGCTTTATGCGCCGACACTCCCTTTTTTCCTGATGAGTTGGGTTTGAAGTGCTCCTGCATGAACGCACGCCCTTTCAGTCACTACACAACAAAAGCCAAACCATCTGCGGAAGTCGCTGTGACAGACAGGAAGTACAAACTTAGCGATATACAAGCGATGAGGATGAACGTGTGATGCGCGGAATAGATTTGTCAGAACGGGATGAAGACAATCCGTTTGGTTGTCAGATCGTTTTGGCTGTGTGGGCGGTGACAGACCGATCTTATGAATATTAATATATTACTTTTAACGTGCTAACCAACGAGCGCCCAGTCATTCACGTAAGGTAATTAATATTCATAAGCCAAGGTTCTGCTTCTTAAAATGGAAATAAACGAGGCGGCGATTTTGTAATAGTGACAAGGAAACATTTTTCATTATTTTTTTGCCATTATATATGCAAAGATCCTTTAGATGGACAACGTCAAAACCGTTATTCAAACATATTATTCTTATAATTACATATTACAACATGATACTGAGAGACAAGTGGCGCCTTTTCTTTTTTCTTTCTTTCTTATTAAACTGAAAATTTTTATTTTTATGTAATTTTTTAATGTTCTTAATATTGTTTGCATAATGTGATCAGTTAAACATCGTAAAATGTTGATTATATACTCTGAATGAACACTGTTCTTAATATTGTTTCTAATGATTATATACATTTCTGTTAAAAATTCATATAATCATAAGATAAGTAAACGCAGCAACTATACAAATTAAGCAAATACAGAAATGTAAATCTAAAATATAGAGCAAATTAAATGTGCAACTGAAAATTTGAAACATGCTCTTGTTGTGGTACCATGTCCCAAAAACATATTAATACCATAGCCTGTTTGTTTTATTTTCATTTTTTGTTACTAACTTTATATATCATTTTGCCAATTTATTTATATATATATTTAGTATATTGTTTCATATAGATGTGCGACTTTTCTATTTGAATATATTTGAACATGTAATTTAGTAGCAGCCATTACTCCAGTCTTCAATGAAATTATTCAAATAGAAAACGGTTCTTTTAAATTATAATAATATTTCACAATATTACTGTTTTTTTCTGTATTTTTAATCGAATAAATGCAGCCTTGCTGAGCATAAGAGACTTCTTTCAAAAACACTAAACACATTTTGTTTTTTTCAAATGGTGCATTGTATAGGCATAAACTCCCAAAAAAAACAAAAAAAACAGACAAGATACAGCAAAGACTCTATTAAACTAAAAGTTTATTGCCATTTTCAACTTTTGAGTACTTTGCACTTTAAGCCTTATTAAGCTGGTTTTGATTTTCCGCTGCGAGACAAATTAGCATTCTATACAAAATATGCTGCCAGGGCTGCCATTTTATCTTTAGGCTTTTTAGGATTCCCTCTCCCCACAGGCCTCCTCCCTCTTCCCTTCCCTCTCCCTCTGCGGGCTCCTCCGGCCCGGTGCATGGGATGCCGCATGGTCGCATGTTTCAGCTCCACCAGATCCTGGAACACAGGGTCGCAAAACACACAGCCAGTGTGCTGCGTTTCACCATCAGGCAACGGCGAGCGTGTCTTGTTGAAGTCCACTATGACCAGGGAGGCTTCGCAGGAATCACAGCTGTCCTGGGACACCTGCACTTTATGGGCGTGCTCGAAGAAATGCACCACAACGTTGCATTTGTTGCAAGCCATGCGCCACTTTGGACCCGAGGTGGGATCGAAGACCAGGACGCCCGTCTCACATTCAACACACTGGCCAATGCCAAGAGAGTTGAGGGAGTGCTGACAGGAAGGGTGGGTGCACTCATTACACCCCATCCCTGACCGAAATAGAAAGAGAAATGACATAATAAGGGATATTCTTCAAGTACGAGAACGTTTACATTTCTTTTCATGTTTTTAAGCATTCCCTCCCCCCGCCCGTTTCATTTGCCAGAATGTCAGAATCCCTCACCCAGTCTTTTTAACTGCAGCTCTATGATAAATTTATAAAAAGCTTACATTTTTCGAGGTATATTTTGTATTTTATATATTTACCCTATGGGCTATTTTAAAAAGGGGCTCCTTGATATGTCCCGCCCTGTCTTCCTGTTTCAGTTAAAATGACCGTCAACACATAGAGTAACGCTGCGTGTTTCTAAGCATTTCAGGGGACCTTTAAAGGTAATGTTCTCTTCAAAATTGAGCAAAAACTCAATATTGTATATAAAAATATAATATTGTTGTATAAAATCACATTTAACTTAAACTCGTGATATTCGGGACAAAATGAGCACTCGTTTGATAGCCTACTGCTCTTGCTGCTCGTGTGATATCGCTTATGGTATGATAGGCCTATAAATTAAATATGAGACAAAAAAACTCATACAGGGGCATTTTTTGCACCAATATCTTGAATTTTAGGGCATAACTGCATTTATGGAGTTGTTGCCCCTGCATCATATTTGTCAACTGTATGAAATGTAAGATGACGTACAGGTTTGGGGGCGGGGCCAGTGCGTTAATTTTAATCGCGTTATCTTTTCATAACTAATTAATTAAGTTTATCCCTAATGTAAAATAAATAATTTATACTTAATATTTAATACAAATTATTTCATGTTTAATTATTTAATAATTGTTTATTTATTTATTATTTAATAATATTCAATAACTACATTTTCTACAGTTGATTTCATTTGGAAACAAAACGTTTCTTTTCATTTTCATAAACTTGAAAGATGGTTTATCCAACCATTTAAAAAAATATATTTAATCCAAAGGTTGATCAAGGGCATAATCAGATCTCTCATTACTGGATACGTGGGAAAAAAATGTAAAGTACATAAAACACAGTTTGAAAGAAACCTAATTGAAGAATCACTTTAAAACAAGTTGATTTGAGAATCAAAGCTTTTTAGTCTCTCCTACCTTTCTTCATGTCTCTGAAAGGAGGGTTGCTGAAGCAGTATGGACACACAGGGTAGCTTTTGCCACGGGACCCCGAGGTCCACAGCACCAGCTCAAACTCATCCAGAGGACACTTGAGCTCCTTGTACAGCTTAATGGCTCCATTCTGAGGCAAACTGTAGGTCTCGTCACAGTGAGAGCAGTGCAGGCGACTGGGTTTGGCCTGGGGGTGATTAAAAAAGACAGTTACTTTATATTTAACACTACATCATGATAAAGCTGTAAAAAGCAATCTGGGTATCATCTGACTCATCTTTTTGCAGTTGTAGAATTCGTTTTATGTGCATTTATTGGAACATAATATTGAATACTTATGAAAATATATTTGAATAATAATAATAATTATTATTATTATTTTAGAGCTTTTTTTAGATGTTGCATTTGAGCAGACTTTTTAGTAAATAACGCTTCTCCATGTTAAAATTCATAATTGAAAAAAATATTGATGGTGGAAAACACAAGTCAACTACCAGCATTTATTGAATTTCAGTTTATAACTTCATTTTCCACATATTTTACCATCCAAAAGGAAGAAGTAACAGTAAAGACCTCCATACTGTGGCTGGACTTCACTTGAAAAAATCAGCATTAATCTCCCTTATGCAAGCGGTGGACATTGAAGCCCATTTAACAGGGACATTAGACCAACAGCCTAGAGTCTAATTTGAATGATGAGGGACACTGATGAATAATGTGTGAGTTATTCCACATTCAGATGGACACAGGACAACATTTAGGTAAAATGCTTCCTTGTTGAAGGTCATTTTCAGGTGCTAGAGAGATGAGAGGCTGGGCTGAAAGCCCAAAGTGCATCAGAGCAGAAAAGAAAAAAAACACGTGATTTACAGCAACATGATCATTCGGATGGTAATTAGGATCAAAGTTAGTGTGCATATGTGGATGCTCTGGGATCTCCATCCATATCAAATGAGTCATCAAAAACTTTAGCTGCATTACTCACTGCGAATAATCAGCATAATTTCCTCTCAACTTGAAGTCAGATGTTTAAAAACGGTATTTTTGATGTACAAAGCATTGTGCACTATATACACAGTACTGTTCAAAAGTTTCGGGTCAGTAAGATTTCTTTAAAGAAATTAATACTTTTATTCAGAAAGGATACATTAAATTGATCAAAAGTGACAGTAAAGACATTTATTATGTTACTGTTTCATATAAATGCTGTTCGTTTAAACTTTCTATTCATCAAGAAAATACTGAAATAAAATCAAATGCATCACGGTTTCCACAAAAATATTAAGCAGCACAGCTGTTTTCAACATTGATAATATTAAATGTTTCTTGAGCAGCAAATCAGCATATTAGAATGATTTTTGAAGGATCATGTGACAGAAGACTGGAGTAATGATGCTGAAAATTCTGCTTTTTTTTTAATTACATTTTAAAAAATGTTAAAATAGAAAAGTTATTTTAAATTGTAATCATATTTCACATTCTACAAAAAAAATACAAATAAAAATAAATGTTTTTTTTTTTAATTACCAACCCCAAAACAAAAATCTGTTTTCATAGTAAACTGAACTCAGACCTGAACTACAGATCATAGCATGTACAGACTTTTTTTGCTGCTTTCTTTGTCAACATGACCTTTAGTTTGAACTGATGACAGTATGGTAAGATGGAGGAATGTTACATATTTAACCAAACACGCTTGTCTCAAAATGGTCCAAAGTTCAGTTCTGCACAGCACTCAAGTCAAATGATTGCAACACCATGTCTGGGGCTTTGATCCATGGCCCTGACCCTACCATTAACTCCTGATTTGGAGACATCATAGAGGGCTTTGACCAACAATTTTCGAACATTTCTGGAATGTTTCAGAAATTTCCTGGTAATTTTACACCTTTTTGCAACCCTAGTCCTAAACACATTCATCAAGGCTACAATAATATGATCAAAAATACAGTAAAAAGAGTCATATTGTGAAATGTTACTAGTAACATTTCCAGAAAAAGAAAGCAAGAATGCAGTACAAGTAAGAAGTCAACACGAGTCGTTACAGACCTGGATGTACTTCATGAAGCGATGGCATTTGCCACAGCGCGAGAGAGGTTTCCCAGTAGCGGCGATGGGAGAAAAGGACACTTCCATCAGCTCATCCATTCCTGTTAAAAACATTCCGAGCATGATTTAAGAGTCAATAATTAGCAAAAACAAAGCAATACACATTGATAAGTGATTAGTAGTGTTAGAGCAACATCTCTAATGCCAAATTTACACTGCAAAGTTGGCACAGAAGCGCATCTGATATGTTCAAAGTATTTACACAGCCATTACAACTGTATACTTTGATACTCTGGGCTGAGGTGGGTCTGACCAGGCATGATTTAGTCTGACTTTTATGCAGCAATCATATAAACATGGAGTTTCTCTGAGAACGTTCTGAAATGTATTTTTAATATGGTACAGAAATACAGCAGTAAACTAATTCTTTGCGTAGATTCATTGTGGGACATTACCTGCAATAGAGTCCACAAAGTAGTGAAACTTCCTCTTGAAGATGTCCAGAGTGTGCTGTAAGACCTGGTGGAAGTTTGCCTTTCCTAAAGCTATCAGATTTAGCAGTTTTTCCACAGCACTGCGGATTGTGGGCAGCACCAAATCTGCATCTAACACACACATACAGATGTACAAGGACAAATGTAAGTTTAACAAATGAGTCATGCACACACCAGCAAAATACCTGAGGTTAAAATGTTTTTTCTTACCAATCTTATAGTAACCATGAACCAGAACAATCCCCAGGTTGGTGGGTTTGAGTTTGCGGCCACTTTCAACCGTCACATAGTTCCTCTGGCAGATGTTGTTAATGTGGACAGGGATGCTGGCATCCGTACCTAGTGGCACAATCATTTGTTAATGCAGTCCACATAATAACTTTTACAATTTTCAGAAAAAAAGGTCTGCAATTAAATGTTCCTTAAAAAAAATACTTCACTTTACTCCCAGTTACTCCCAATTACTACCAGTTAAAGTTTGGCAAAAATCCTGCGTCACGCCAGATCCGTTTCCTACGTTGTTGTGATTTGATCTGAACGGAAACAGCGTATCCGTGTGACGCAGCTGACACAGAACAGCATACGCTGTTTACGTCCAGCTGATATTCTCCAAAATGGCACTAGGGTGATGCGGAGGAGACGAATTGTTGAATAAAGTCGTTTTTTTTTTTTCTTTTACGCACAAAAAGTATTCTCGTAGCGTCGTATAATTGCGGATGAACCACTGATGTCACATGGATTATTTTACAGATCTCCTTGCTACGTTTCTGGACTTGGGAACATTTCAGTTGTATTGCTGTCTATGCAGGGTCAGACTGCTCTCAGATTCCATCAAAAATATCTTAATTTGTTTTATGAAGATAAACGAAGGTCTTACGGGTTTGAAACGACATGAGGGTGAGTAATTAATGACAGAATTTTCATTTTTGGGTGAACTAACCCTTTAAAATATCCCTTATATATAATAGCATATAATGAATAATGACATATGAAACACTTTTCATAAATCATTGTGCTGTGAAATCTGCATGCGTTTGAGACTTGTAATTAATTTTGCAGTATTTTAGACACACTGCATCCAAAAAGTTACAACAATGGTGAACAAACACTGTGACCAAACACTAACATTGGAAGTGCACATCAGGGATAAATTGTATAAAATGACCTGTTTAAATTTACTCTTTTCTGTGAACTGCTGTGAAGGTTGTCAGCACCAATAAAACCGATCGTACCGATGCCGTGTTTCTCCATGAGTGTGATGAGCTCGGCCTCAGTCAGGTAGTCTGGTGGATTGGTCTGTTTCTCCAGTAGTTTGATCTCATCCACTGTAAATGTGTCTCCTCTCTCACACACCGGCAAGGCCTCTTCCTGTGCAATACCCTGCCAGGGCATCACCTCAGTGTAGCCTGTTTGCAAGAAATATTAATAAGCATCATCTCTCCACTAGAATATAATTTAAAAATGGCTAAAGTAAAAAAAAAAAAAAAAAACATTAATAAAGCTCATCTGAAGAATTCACGTACCAGCAGAGATGAGCGTCTTCCCGCTGCATGTGAAGCTCTCTGTGCCGATGCTGAAGGAAATTGTGGTCTGCAGGTATTTGCAGTCGGGGCTGACCGTTGCGATGAAGTGCCGTGTGATGTAATCATACAGACGCCAACCATCGCTGCCTGCAGAGACAAAAAGATATTTGCCATTTTATAGCTCTGTTGTCTTAGATCTGTCTTGGATTCTAGAGTTAGGATATTCCTGCAATATGGCCTCTGAACTGCATTTGGTTCATAGTTACATTACCATTCAAAAGTCTGGTGTGGGTACGATTTTTTAAATGTTTTAGATTTTTGTATTCGCCAAGGCTGCATTTATTTGACCAAAAATATAGTAAAAAAAAAAGTAATATTATTACAATTTATTAAAATAACTGTTTTCTATTTTAATATATTTAAAAATGTTGTTTATTCCTGTGATGCAAAGCATTATTACTTCAGTCTTCAGTGTTACATGATTCTTCAGAAATCATTCTAATATGCTGATTTGATGCTCAAGAAACATTTCTTATTATTATCAATGATGCTGCTTAATATTTTTGTGTAAAATGTCATTTAATGAATAGAAAGTTCAAAACAACATTTATTTGAAATAGAAATCTGTTACATTATAAATATCTTTATTGTCACTTTTGATCAATTTGATGCATCCTTGCTGAATAAAATATTTATTTCTTTAACCAAAAAAAACATACGGGACCGCCATATTTTTGAATGGAAGTGTATATACACTACGGGTCAAAAGTTTGGGATCAGAATGATTTTTAATGTTTTTTACAGGAGTTTCTTATGCTCATCAAAGCTGCATTTATTTGATCAAAAATACAGGAAAAATGTAATATTGTGAAATATTATTATGATGTAAAATAACGTTTTTCTATTTTAATATACATTCAAATCTAATTTATTCCTGTGACGCAAAGCTGAATTTTCAGCAGCATTACTCCAGTCTTCAGTGTCACATGATCCTTCAGAAATCATTCTAATATGCGGATTTATTATCAGGGCTGGAAACTGTCGTGCTGCTTAATATTTTTTTGGAACCTGTGATACTTTTTTTCAGGATTCTTTGATGAACAAAAAGTTAAAAAGAAGAGCATTTATTTAAAATAGAAATCTTTTCTAACAATATACACTACAGTTCAAAAGTTTGGGGTCAGTAAATTTTTA